CCCCAGTGATTCAAGCAGGTTTTTGCCCAAGTGTTATATGTGTCTTTGAGTTTTGGGGCAACAGTATTAGGCATTTTATTGCTGTTAAGAGCAGATCATTTGGAAAAATCAAAGCTAGTTGAAGTCCATCATTTGGCTCTTAATATTATATTTCTATAAAGAGAAGTTGAATGCAGCTGCATATACGGATGAAGCATGTTCTCTGTTAGACTGTCCCTTCTGTTCAGATCCAAGTCTTGCTGTTTCACTCAGCAGTACCTCCAACCTAAATTTTCCATGGTTTCTAATTTTAAGGACCATGTTTAATGGGTTAAACATTCTAATCTTTTCCTAGACCTTCCATTTGGTGAGTCCTGTACAAACACATGAGATGCAGCACTTTCTCTGAAGAGCTGACAATCTAAGATGAGGATTCTTGCAATTTCTAGCATGTAGGTGGACTGTACGCCTGTATGAGGTCCTGTTCCCCACACACTACCAACTTCAGTTTCCAGGCTAGAGAAAGTGTTCATTGGCCAGCTGGTGGGAATGGGAAAAACCAAGCACACCTCCCTGTGCATCTCTGAGTTTGAGTTTACCCCAGTTTCCAGCTGGATATCATTACATTCTGGAACGACTGGGTCTTAGAAATGTTTCATGCTTCCTGTTGAGCTTGCATGAAGTATAACTTTGAACTCTTTTTTTTTATCTCTATCATAACCAGACCTGAGACTGAAGTAGAAATAAAGGGCATTTGTCCAAGATTCAACATGTGATTGCCTCCTTGTTCCAGCTATAAATGAAATTACCTTTGTGTACTATTATATTAAAATGTTTTTAAGAGCAGTGGGTCCAATTCTGCCATCAGGTATGATCAGTTTTCTCCCACTATCTAAGTAGGGAATGAATTTGTAGAGCCAATGACAAAATATGGCCCTAAAATTCCTTATTATGGAAATAATTGTTATATTCTATCAGGTATGTATGTGTGTGAAATTTGATTCCTTATAAAGCAAACAAACGCTAGAAACTTGGAAAATGTCTTCCTATACTCCTCATCCTGAAAACATAGAAGTAGTACTGCATCTGCTGTAAAGTTACGCATATTTTTTAGTCTTTGCAAAGCTTTGGATATCTATGGCTGCTGACAGACATGGGAAAAAAAAGCCAGCATTTTACCAGAAAAGGAGCCGCATCAGTTTGACACGGCTCGCCCAACAACTGTATAGATTGTGCACTTCAGTGGGCTTTTTGGTGCTTCTGTCTAATAGCTGATTGATCAGTGCATGCCCAGCAGAAGAGTTGCATCAGTTTGACCTCGCTCACCCAAAGTCTGTATAGATCATGTGCTTCAGAAGGGCTTTTTGGCACTTTTATCTAATGACTGTGTCCCGGGACCCGAAGAAGCCGGGAAGACTCACCTGCAAGGCGGGACAAGTGGGATGCCGCGGCGGAGAGAGAGCCCATGTGGCTTGTTAGCTGCGTCCATGTACGGCTGCGGCCGACAGCTGATGATGACGTCAGATGCTGGCCGGCAGATTTAAAAATGGCAGCCGCCGCTCCGGAGGCAGTGGATGCTGAGGGGAACGAACGGCTGTCTGAGCCGTCCCCAACGCCAGCCCAGTGGGACGGACGGTGGAGAGCCAGTGTGCCAGGGAGGACGGTGGCACAGAGAGAAGGAGCGATGATGGGATTGCCGGTGGATGGACCCTGAGGTGCCAGGTTGGGGAAGCCACAGAACACTGAGACCATCCAGGATGATTCAGGGCACCAAGAAGTAAGTGCTGAGACAGTGGGTGTGGGAATCGCCAAAGAGGGGCGAGAGACCGAAGGATCACCTGGCGGGAGAGTGAGATCATGGCGGGATCACCGCCGAGAATAGAGGACATCTGTCGAAGGACAAGGGGTGCAGCACTAAATATCCAGGAGGCGTTACTCCTGGGCACTATCATAGGGTGTTGGTGGTGGGTCAGTGAGATAGTCGGCACTGAAGAACCCTTTGGGGGAAGCAAGTAGATCAGGGGGTGTATAGGGTGACGGGTCGGTGGTATAGTATCTATGGCAGTAGGGCTTAGGCCTCAATACAGGTGGGTGTGAAGGGCCTGATGTCAGGGCAGGAGTGACCCAAGGGTTTTGGGGAAACTCAAAGACGAAGGCCACTATAGAAGTCTGCAGGATCATCACTGAGCAGGCACGGGGAAGTGGAGGCCACAGGTGGCATGAGACCGGGGTGTAGGTGTGGCAGGAGCCCTGTGTGTAACCGACGAGGCCGACCCGGGCCACCGAGGGACCCGTGAACTAGCCCCGCCCCACTAGTGTAACAGCAAGTCGTGGCAGGAGAGAAGCGGGGTTAGCGACGCAGGAAGACGAACGACCACGGTAACACCCACGCCCGGTGAAGAGGGTGGTCATCGACACGGAGAGTCAGACTCCTAGTAGAGATACTCGAAGGCCCGTCAGGGACAACGTGGTGCATTGGCTGGGAACCGTAGTAATACATCAGATTGGGATGCAACCAACCGAGATGGGCCCAGCTGACCTTCTGGCTCAGAACTTGCAGGCTTTAACGCAGATAGTGGGATCCCAACAGTGGCTGCTGACACAGCATAGCCCGTCAGTGCTGGGAATGCTGAAGATGACAGCCAACGATGATCCCGAGGCTTATATTGAGGCTTTCAAATGCCAGGCTATTGTGGCGGGCCTAGACAAGAGGTATTGGGCCAGCCAACTGGGGGCCCTGGTGGTGGGCATGTCTCAGGCGGCCGACCGATCCCTGAACAGAGATGAAGCCCAAGACTATGGGGCAGTGAAGGTGGCGATTCTTTACCGCCTAGAGCTTGATCCAGAACATTACCGGAGGCTGTTTAGAGCAAAGAAAGGGCCCGAAGAAAGACGACCGAGAGTGCTACTACAACGACTTAGAGACCTTTTTGGAAAATGGGTCAAGTTACCCACATGCACAACGGCAGCCCTGATAGACAAAATTATATTAGAACAGTTCATTAACGATTTAGAGGAAAAAACACAGCACTGGGTGAGGCAACGTGCCCCGGAAACGTGTGAGGGAGCATTGAAGTTAGCCGAATCTTTTGTGGGGGCGGAATGGCATTACCCCAGGGAGAAGCGGGGTCCCACTGTGACGACACCAGCACCCAGGGAGGTGGAGAAACACAGACCCAACTACCGACACCAAGGGGGCGACATGGTGTGCTACCACTGCAGTAGAGTGGGGCATTTTGCTAGGGAGTGTCCAGGCCGTGCAGCTGAGAGACGACGACCCACAGATATCTCAAGGAGCTTGAGGGAAGTCCCGGAAGAGCAGACCACGGGGGAACCCATGGACTGCAGTTTCGGGACTGGGGAAGGTAAGCCGGTGTGGGAATGGCCGGCGGTGCGAGCGTGGGTTGAGGACCGTATGGCTGTGTCTATGTCCGAATCGCCAAATCTTTCCAAATCTCTCCGAATTGATTTGGTGGGTTCTGATTTGATTGGAGAGATTAAAGCATCTCCTGATTCGATTCGGATTTAGAGGTTTGACCACTGCATTGGGCCGAATCTCTGCCAAATTGAATCAGTGACTGAAACTTCTCACAGCCCTAGAGTCTACTACAGCCTCCCAGTGGGAGGTTCTCAACTACGCATTTAATGGCAATGGGGGATTGCTCTCTGGATTTCCTTCTAGCTTGCTCCTTTGTCTTTTTGGCTAGCAACAAACAAGACTTAGGGGGCATCTGAACCCCAACACCTCCGGGCTTAGAACTTGTGTGTAGAAGGCCTGCCATGGATTTGGGAGGATCTGAAACTCAAGTCTGAGTCTGGCAGCTAGGTTACTTGCTGGTGGTAGCACCACACGAACCTGAACAACTGAGCTCTGCTCAGTTGATGGAATTTGGAACTGATTTGGCCTGAGACTCTAAATTAAAATATATATATATTTCCAGCAGTTTCAAAAAAAGGTAACATGCATCAATTCTGGATGAACTAAGTATATGGATACTATATACAAATTACTACAGCCATGTTTAATTTCAAGGTTATTGTTTACAAATATGCTTCTCACTTCTATGGGCTCAGGAAGAACAGAGTCTGATAGTAAGGAGAGGGAGCGGGGAAGGGACTGCCAGGGGAAAAAAGTTGGGGGCAGCGGGAAGTAGAGAGCCAAGGGGCTACCTGACCCCCCCCAGATTTATTTTTCCTGATGTAGCAGGGGGACAAATTCAAGGCAAGCCCCTGATAAATAGATTCTATACCTGGAAAGTTATAACAAATTTATGAATTTTCCACATACAGAATCTAATTATTAGGGGATCATCTTATATTCAGGGTTGTCTTCTATTCAAGTAAATACAGTAGATTAGATCTCAGGAAAAACTCCTGTTTTAGTGTTAGAACAGTGAGGTAATGGAATAGATTGCCCAGGGAAGTAGTGGGATCTCCTTCACTGAAGGCTTTCAAGAGGAGGGTGGATAAGCATTGTCCAGAGATGATTCAGGGGTAGCAGTCCTGCAACTGTGTAGAGAGCTGGATGACCAGATAACCCTTGAGGTCCCTTCTATTCCTATGATTCTGTGATTAAGTGTTGAGGTCTCTTGAAAATATGTTTCTACTTGTAGGCCTGGGCACCTGAAAATCTACTCCATGTTGTATAAAACATCACAATTTGGTTTTAAAATAAAAAGAACTGTTAATTATACTGCTTTTTAACGTGAAGAACATAGCTGAACAGAACTAGGTGCATTAGCT